TTTTGTTTGCTTGTTTTAAATGCAAGGAACTAAACTACATCTTTTTCAAACATAGCTCTGTGTTCACTTCCCTAGTTACTCTGAGGGAAATTCAGGAGAATGCATTGAGAAAGCTGGATTCATTTGGCTTTCATACCTGGCAAGGCAGGTGTAGTGGCTGGGCTTTATCTTGTTTACCATACTGAAACACCACAGTGTCACAATATGAGTTTCAGCATAATTCCAGCACTTTGTGGATGCTGATGAAGGAAAGGTAGCTCCCCTTTATACTTTACAAATCCTGGTGCTGTACTTCCCCAACATGTGGTAGCACAGCCCAGCTTATCATCAATCCACCTACATGCACAAAAATGTCCTGAAAATGCATCTGAAGTTTCTTTCTAGCAGTCCTTGCACGCTCTGGTCTGACTACAAGCAGTGGTGCCAAAAATAACAGATTTATTGTAGAAGTAAGTGAATCATAACTGGTATGCAAACTGCCAGTATGAAATACTTACCCTGGAACTACCCTGCTCCTGGGCTGGTGAACTTGTGGTCCCACACTGCTGATAGAAACAGTCTCTTTCCTTGTACAGACACACCCATCAGCCAGAGTGGAGTCCAGCCCTGCTTCTGTGAGGGATGAGAAAGCTTTAATGCCACACACGTGTTGTTACTGTTGTTCTATGTTCATTAGTGTTCACTGCAAGGTACTGGTGAGGGACAAGTGATGGCAACCACTGAAGAAATCACCAAATGAACTTAAAAAGATAGTTGTGGCCTCAGTTAACACCACTGAGAGCACAGCCCAGCCCTTCGTGCTTGCTGGGAAAAATCTTCTAGGGTCAAAAACTTAAATAGAAGCAGAACCAACACATACCTGGAGAGGCAGATGAGCAAAACTCTAGGCAATCCATTGTGAAATGGAGGTCTTATAACTAAAGAGCTCAGTATAACCATCTGCTTAGTGCAGCAAGGAGGGAAGAGTTCAAAAAGGCAAAAGTATTAAGCCCCAAAAACTTAAAAATCAGACAGGCAGGAGATGGCTCACCACGCCTGGGATTTTGCACACTGACAAAGCTGTATTCAAGCACAATGAAAATGCCTTTTTCTCCTGTTGAAAAAACATAATGAGAATGCATCATTGTGGGGTTTTGTTTGGGTTTTATTTTGGTTTTGGTGTTTTCTTCTCTAAGTGTGTTTGTACAAAGTTTCAGGCGCAGATTCTTAACTTCTTACTGAAGTCTTCACAAGTACTCTCCCTTCAACAATGTATCTGAAGACATTTTGATGTGTAAAAGCTCATGAAGGGTGGTTAATGTGATAAAAGCAGAAGCTTGAAGCAATGACATCTAAAGAAAGTCTGTCTGAAGATCTTGAAATCAGATAGAATAAAGAGAAGACTAAAATGACAAATATGTTTGATCTTATGTACTTAAACAGAAAATCATTTCTGAGCCCTGTCTCATCCTATAAAAGAGCTGATGGATGGCTTGGATTTAGATACATGTAGCTATATTTGCTACTGATAAAATTACATACTTGCCCCTTTGCACTAGCGCTGTATTTTGGGAGTTGGAATTTATTGATTTAAAACCCCAAATTACCCACTTTATTCCTACTCCCCTTTCTCCTAAAATAGTGTTCAAGTGGAAAACAGAAGCTGGCTTTCTTGTACAGGGAAGGAATTAATTTCCTTAAGGAAAAGCAATGAAGTGTTTCCAAAAATGAAATCCTGATATGATTTTTGGGTCAAGCAGGGAAGAGCAAGGCACACAGAAAGGAGCTGTTGAGCCAAGTACAGTCACTCCAGTCCAACTACACTATTGACAGGGGGAAGGGCAGGTGATGAGGGCTAGAGAAGACAACTTCCACGGCATTACACCTGTAAATGAAAGGAGACTATGGAGGAATAATATGCCGTGAGCCCTAAACATGTCATGTCTATATTCAAGTCTGGAGCTCAGAACAAGACAAGCAGAGAGCTTGGTAATGATGATCACTCAAGTGACCTTAAATTTACCAAGGGACTTGTATAGGCACAGACAAACTCAGACCATAAGCCTTTCATTTAAAAACATAGGCTCCATTATTGCAGAATTGAAGGAATCTTGCTTAGAATTTGCTCATATTTTGAAATACTTCTTCCTGCAAGCCCAAAAAGCATGCAAAGCCCTTAAAAATGTTTGTTACATTAGAGGACTCCTTTTTCTTGTCTGCATTCATGAGGTTCCTAGTTCCAACTCCAGGAAGCTTTCAGTATACCACGGCCCTGATGCAGTAAAACATTTAAGCAGTTGCTTTATTGTAAGTGCAGCATTACACATCCAGCTCTGAGCTCCATGCTGAGGAAGGCAATAAGGCCTTGAAACTAAAACATGGTGTATTAGAAAAATTATTAGATGCTGCCCTGTTCCTTCATCTTATAAGAAGGTGCAAAGAGAAGTGCAGAAGGCTGAGACTGCAGGCTCTATTTACCCATCCACCTGACCAACAAAACAGCCTAGCTTGTGCTTACAGCATGCACCCTTCCTCACAGATCTACTTTTCTTCCCCCCTCACCACTCTCTAAAGGACCTATGTTATCTTTGGTTAGCTACTGCTCTCTCTATCCAAAGCCAAGACCTGTCAACTTCCACATGTTCTTGTGCACAAGTCACCGTCCTAAATGCAAAGTATCTGCACTTCATGCAATAAAAACTGCTAAAGAGGACTAAGGCGAAAGCCTCAGCTCTAAGTCAATGCAAGCCTGGGCCACCTAAGCCACTGTGCGTGGGCTCTTGTCAGCAGAGAGCAGCAATTTTCATATTAGAGACTCTCAAATTCCTTAGGCACTCCCATCTCTGGTATTACACTGAAGTTACACTTGAATATACAATATTTGCATTCCTCTTGCTAATTTATGTTGCTTGTTCTCTCTAATCTCAACATCACAGCGCAAATCCTTTTCATGCTCTATTTCCTATGCAGTGCAGCTTCCCTGGTTTGTAATCAACATTATTCTTTCCATTAAAGTTAATTTCTATTGTAGACTATGGACTAGCTCTAACTTCCTTTCACCTTCTCTACTTTTTAGGAGATGCTACACAAACAAGAGTTAAAGGATTTTGTTTCTATTACCTTCTTAAACACTTTAAGGGCTACTGAAAAGGTGCTAATAACTTCTGTCCTTTGTCTTCTAAGGCCTGTTTCAAACCCAGTGAGAGCTGTTACATTCACAGGGCTGTGGCCAAACTACTACTGACCAGCAGACAATCAAAGTAGACATAAGGCATCCCTAGGAACATACTAAGGAGTCAGTTGAGGAAGATGAGAGAGACAGTGCTGAAGGCAGCCTTATACCTTCTTCAATAGAAGCAACACAGAGGAGGTAAACATGAATCAATCCTGAAGGCAGTAGAGAAGCACAAGGAAGTTCTATGAGGAAAATAGAATGAGTCTTAAGGCCATGAAGGGTGGCACAGGTTTTGCAAGGCACTTCCCCGTATTTGTGGTGTCTCACAAAAAAGCCTTTTAACTCCTTTGGCTCTGTTAGGTGACAGATATATGTCTATGTAAGAGGTTGTCAGCAGACCCTAAGGACCAAAATACCTACTCATTCAGTTTGTTTGTTTTCTATGATGCCTGCACCATCACATCAGAACTGGTAGTTCTTGGCCTATCCTGGTTTAAGGTCTGGTTTGGCACCCTGAGAAAGTCATGTTGAGTCAAAGCTTGTTCGTTAGTTTTATATTTGCTGACTTAACATTAAGAAATGATTTCAGGATCAATTTCCTTAGTTCTATAGCAGGAAATGCAGGATTTCTTACATACACAACCTGCAAAATGCTGTAGGAGAAAACAGGCTGTGCTGTGCAGTATAATTTAGACCATCTGTAATGACAAATCTTTCCAAGTTACATTTCTGCTGGGGCTCTCTGACATTCCTCTGTGCTGGGGTATGAGTTATCTAACAGATTCTCAACAGACACCAACACAAGCGTCCCCAGCTTCAGCCACACCAGAGCTCTTTAAATTACACCTTGTCTGTGTGCATGGACACATGCAGTGGAAGTTCTGATATATCCACTTCTATTCCCTCGATGTTTGCTTTCCACTCAGCCAGCCAACAGTGTGGTTTTTCCTTTCCTTTTTTGCTGTCGGGCAACAAGTCTTATTTCTCTTTCATTTCCTTATGAAGGTATTCTTCCTGAGGATGTCAGGACACAGAGGCACGGCATTTTTGTGTGGCTCATAATTAAAAACTCTTCATGAACTTTACTTTTTGTAGCGTGCAGGGGCAAGGAAATATCCAATGTTACTATTCAAGTCCACTTTATACTACATGCTTAATAGTAGCTGCATGGGTTTAAACGGCTGCTCATTTCTACTGCCTTCACTCCTGTGTGCTCAGAAACACCCTGAACTACAGTACAACAAAAATCAGTTCTGGCTTGGATCTAAATTCCTGCAGATTCTTGCTGTGTTCAGCGAAGGTGCAGAACAATGGTATTAGTCCTACAGGAGTAGAGACTGTATCTGTAATTTCTGAACCCATGAAGTGGGCTTTGAAAGTATCTCCCTATTGGTGTCCACATGTTGAGGGAAAAGTAGACAGGCAAGATGCCATGCTGGGAACTCAGCTGCACAAACGTAATTCCAGACGCTCCCCCAGTTTCCAAACATAGCTCAGCCTATCTCATACAGGAGGTGCTCCAGCCCTTGATCATCCTTGTGGCCTCCTCTGGACTTGCTCCAACAGCTCCATGTCCTTCTTTATGTGGAAGACACCAGAACTGTCTCTTGGTTGCTGGGCGGCTCCTCCCTGCCTGGCTGTGAGCTGCAGCAGTGCCGTGGAAAGTGAAGCATCTGACTGTGGTTTAGTGCTCTACAATGGGATGGCTTTGCTGATCATCGAGAAAAATGACGGGCCATTCACCAGCAGCGTGCTGGAAAGAAGAATTTTTCATGGCAACATTTGTAGTTTACAATTTAGCACAAAACCTGTTAAAGCACAAAAGCAGTCTGTTAAAATCCAGAAACACTGTGCACAGCAACTTTGGGTGTTTATTTATGAAAACAATACAGTGTGTTCCAGTGGGAACTGATCAAGTTGCATAAAAGATTTAAGAGTCCATTCTGTAGCTATAATAATGCTTTTAGCACTTTCTCAGATCCTTCCCTATTTTCCAGTGTAGTGGCTTGTGCTAGTTTATCTTTTGGACCATAAACCATTTTATGCCTTCAGTATTCTGGAAGTGGTATCACGATAAAACAGATTTAAGCCACGAAATAATACACATATTCTGTATTTGGAAATGTGTCAGATCTGTTTTTGAGAAACTAACTGCATGTGAAGCTATTAGCACAGTGTTGGTAATACCACAGAACATCACTAAAAGTGATGGCAGGTTTTTGTAAAGGAGCAATCCTGGTTTAGTACAACTCTGTTGAAATATTCATCATTAAAAAATCATGTTTCAGGAAAAAAATATGATTCCTCTCTGAGAATTTAAGCAATTTATTTTGGTTTTTAACAATTTAATCAAAAGATTTCTTGAAGCCTTTTATGAAATGAAAACCAAGGGTTTGGGTTGCGTTTGGGTTTAGTTCTTTAATAGTGCAAGTTTTTTGAGCCATACTCAGACTTTTCTGAATATTCAGCAGGTAAATATGCCAACAGCTCCAATTTAACATTGAAAATAGCAACAGAAAAGGCAGTGTGATGCTGTCCCAAGTTAATGTCAGCAGCTGGCATAAGGGCGCATGGCCTCATTCAGGGAACTGTCCATGTACAGTTCCTGTGAAGAAAATCCAGGTATGGTAGCTGGTATGAAGCATTAGCACTGATATTCATGCTTTAATAGGGACATGAGAAATAACTCCCTCTGCAGTGCTTAGGAGAAAGTAATTCCATTTAGGACTACATAAATTTTCAGTTTGTTAATTAGGTTAAGAGAGGAAAAATAACATTAGGAACTTCCACTAGAGTTGTATTAGCTTCAAAATGACAAAGAAATTGAAAGAGAATTAATGTTAGCCAGGAGCTTTGGCAATCAGCTCCACTTCCAAACCAGGGCCCCAAAACACTGAAGTCTTCACTTAGAGATGTGCTTTTTCTTCTCTTTTTTAAATCATCTGCCTTTCATTATCATTTCTCAAAGACAAGCAGCTTGTGAAGCAGTTACCCAAGTATATAACGTGAATTCTGAAATCTGGCATTCTAGGAAGCATTCCCCAGAGCAGATGTACTCAACCGAGGCATGCAGCTCATAGCTAGAATTACCCCAGAGAAATGGCAAGTCACTACAGCCTCTTTTAAGGGTGTCAGGTCTCCCTTTCAGCAATGGCTCAGCACGTTGAGATCATGTCCTGTCGTCACCTTGACTTTGGTTGGGGCTCTGGGAACTGCTGATAACAGGATCACCAGTTGGCAGTAACTGATGAGTCACCAAATCTCACGGAAAGGCTTCAGGAGCATGGAGGAATGGTCAGGAATGGTTTTGGTAATGCAGACAGGAGCTGAGTCTAAATCTGAAATCAGCTTTCTATCAGAAAAGTTTCATCAGGTTCAATAGAGGGAGATTAATCCACTCCCAAACCTCACAAAGTGGTGCTTTAGACACACACACACACACACACAAGAAGAAAGCCTTGAAAAGTGGCCTTTGAATTCTCAGCTGAGGATCCTGATCAAGAGAGGAAGAGTGTGAATGTGTGTTGCTGAAGACCCCTTCTTAGCCTTTAAATGCTCACAGATGAAAACACTTTTGTCCATCTGTTCCTATGTGGAATACGAAGGACTTGGATCACTTCTGAAAGCAGCCATGACTTTCTAGCTCAATACTTAAGCTGGGGAAATAAAGGGCCCTTGTCCTTAATTCTAATGCACTGAGGTAACCAAGCCGGCAAATGGCTCAGACCTGTTCATTGCTTATGGACAGCCACACTTGCTTGTAAAAGTGCTACTTTCAGACCTGGGGAGTTGAGCCTGTCATGTTAGACAGAAATTTGGATGAGGCATCACTGACCTTGTACATGACTGATTGATGTTGGAGATGGCAGCTGGATTCCATCTCTTTCTGTAGGCACTCACCCTCTTTCTGAGGTGTCTATATCCAGAAGCCCAACATCAAGGGTTTAAGTGTCTGCAGTAGATTAGCAAAGCAACAGTTGTCTCGGGGTAAGCCAATGCATGACAAATAATATCAACCTTGGTGTAATCCCTGCCCACCTTCCCTTTCCTGTCAGCTTTCAACTGGCATCTCTCAGATTTGTTATCTACCTGGCAGATCTTAGAGCTTTTGAACCTCAGAACAGAGAGGCAGGATTTATTTGGGGGCAGGCATGAGAAGTAGTCCCCTTCAGAAGACCTTCCATCAGGCTCTTTGTGGCAAGGGGTCCTTGTGGACTGGGATAACCCATAGAGACCATTATGGGGAAAGTGTTCCTGGTCCAGTCATCCTGGCCGCCTTCCTTAGGGGAGCAGAAGGCAGAAGAGCAGGAAATTCAAGGGAGAGATTAAGAACAACTGCTCCCATCTCAGGATACAAGCTCCCTTTTCTGCAGCTTGTCAGAGTAGGTGCTGAGCCACGTAACAGAGGGTGACTGGTGCAAAGAGGATCCTGGCTTGAATAAATAGCCTCACTTACAGCAGAAGGCAGTCACCACTGCAGGATGTACAACACAAGTACAAGGTATACACCTGAACACACTGCAAGAGTCAGCTCCATAGTGGGCACAATAGCCTCCAGCTATACTTGTTATTTTCCTTTTGGTTTTTGGTTCCTGCTTGTCATCTGCAGCACATACTGAAGGGAACAGCATGCACCTCATTATTTAGATTTACCATTCTATTTGTAGCACTTCAGAGCAAAGCAGAAGGGTTTAATAACCCTTCTCCCAGCAGCAAAGGGCTGGAGGACTCGGTGGGAAACTCCAGCCCCACTGTCTGCTTCCCCTTGCAGCGGGGGCTCCATTCAGCTGCTGTCTGCCTGCTTCTGCTTTGTGTTCCAGAGGCGTTTGCTGCAGTCACTTGATGGTTTTGCACGTAGAGCAGGCATCTGATCAGACTTTTAACCTGGGGGAGGGAAGCAAAACAAAATTCTGGTGAGTTAAATTACCTTCTGCTGCATACAATCATCCAGCGTAACACAGCTCAGCAATAACATTCATGTTGCCATTAATAGAAAACACTTCACATTGCACTCCAGAGAGATTTTTTTTCCTCTTGGTATGGAAGTGATCCATTCAGATGGAGCTGCCTGAACAAAGCCTAAGGGCTCAGACAGCACCAGCAGCATCTCTCTAAATATCCCTGTCTTATTGTGTACTCTCTGCCTTGACTTGAAGGAAATGTGCCAATTGCTGCAGCTATAGGGCTCTGCGTATATAAACCACACACTTATCTGAGTGGCCCTATGGGGCAACATGAGTTATTTGCTGATTTACCTCAAGTAAATCATGATAATACTTCAGCAGAATTGTCTTGGCTTCAACAAAATGTGTCAGAGTGTTTTCAAATAGAACACTTAATCCGTGCCTCTCTCCCTCATGTCATGAAGGGAAGAATTAAAAATGTGACTATGCACCATGCTGGTAAAAGCCTGAAAATACTTGTGAGGGGAAAGTGGGGCATTTTGCAGCATGCTTAAAGATGGCTTAAGTTTTCTGAATAGAGAAATGAAAGCTTGTCTTGGACACTTCTGGTCATCTTGAACAATAAACTGAAATATAAATAAGATGAATGACAGTAATGAAGAAGACCAGAATCAACTTCTCATCCTGTAGATATATATGAAGCTGACAGGTGCCTCTGTAGCTCAGAGGTAAGGGGGCTGAAGTGCTGACAGCAGAACAATGATACTTGACTCAAAGACAACTGAGGTGACAGGCAAGGTCCGGTTGGAGAAACGAGTGGGGCCTGCACAGACCGGACAGTGGTGGGGGCAGAATTATAGCCCTGGAGATCTCATACCATTTATGTCCTTATGTGAGTTCAAGGGACAGTTGTACTCATGGCTAAAGGTCACCACCCCTCAAGTCATTTCATTAATGTTTCTTTACTGTTTAATGCTGGCTTGCATAGCTTAAGGCTGGCTGCTGTGTTAAAATGAGTAACTGTGCTTTGGGAGGGAACAAGTCCTCCTGTGTTCTCAACAGAGGTAAATCATTCACAAAGCAAGAAGGGATGCTGCAGCCAGCCTGTAATTGAATTTTGCAGCGTTCTGAATGATAATGCATGAGTCTCCTCTCCAAATCAGCAACAAGGAATTATTACACAGAAGGATAAACAGGATAAAATTAAAAATTAATGCTTCTGGAAAACAAATCAAGTTTTTCAAGGCCAGGCTGGATAGAGCCTTGGGCAACATGGTCTAGGGTGAGGTGTCCCTGCCCATGGCAGGGGCTTGGACCCAGATGATCTCAAGGTCCTTTCCAACACAGACCATTCTGTGATGGTTTCTGCAAAAAGTATTTACTGGCACTTCTGCTTATAAACTCCTAATTAAAAGGCTGTTATTGAGCCCAGACCCATCAAAGACGGTCATTCTCTAACTCCATCCTTTGTACTCCTGCTAAAAGGCCATGAAGTCGCATAGGGCATTAAAAACATCAAATAGTAGGGAAACAGACTGAGCTGATTAACCTCTGTAAAAACCAGTAAGGTAAGATTTGGACTGTGGCAGGTAAGGCACATGTTGGCACACACTCATCTAAAGTAATTAGACACTGGGGGTGAGGACGGGCTGTAAGCCACAAACACAGGAGAAGAAAATGGATTTATTCTCTGAGAATTCTGTGATTCTATGATGAACTGTCTGCCTTTTACAGTGAGATCTAAAAGTAGATCCTATCAAGTCATAATTTGCTATGTCATTTAAAACATTTAGAACTGAAAGTGGCAATTACCAGCCCTCTTAATATGTCAAAGGTTGCTAGACAAGATGGGCTCAGCATTTTCACAGCGAAAAGCATTCAGGTCTTTCAAATTCAGATCTCTGTCTTAATCAGACATCAGAGGAGTCCCTCAGAAAATAAGCAGAAACGCCACAGGCAATCTAGTTCATGGACTGCTCTTGTGGCAATACGATGGAAGATTAAGGCTGGTGAGCTTGCTTATTTCTCGTTGCAGAAGGTCTTCCTGAGGTTGGTAGCAATTTGGATAACTTATTCTTTTTGGTTTTACTAGGAAGAGAAATGCATGAAGAACTTCAGTGCAGAAATTTCTCATGTAGGCTTGAGAACCTCATACACCAGAGTCAGGAGCTGTTTGAAAGGGAGCTCCCCCCTGTGTGAGCACACACACAAAACTTCTGATTCAGGACATGTTTGTGCCTATTTGGCAGATTATTCTTTATACTCCCTCTGATGTCAGGTTATTCTTGGGCACGATAAAATGAGGATGAGAAGGGCTGTATAATTAATTTCATTATAAAAGCATTTGAGAGCTCACTAGAGAGTTTATCTTTGTTTCCTCCCTTAAAAAAGGCTCTACCAAAAGCTCTCTCCACTCTCTCCATATAAATAGGGAAAATCCCTTTTGCCAATCAGCAGAGTATCAGCTTTGCATTTGCAAGTCAGCTTGAGCACAAAATGACCTTTTTACATCCATATGTATCCATCTCTCTAGAATTAATCATCCATTCAGCTGGTGGCTTATTTAAGCATAAACACACCAAAAAGGTGCTGTAAGAGTGTTTGCAGAATCCAAATATTTGCTTTCTCCTTCTTTAACCACCTACCCACCACCAGGGTGAAAGCTGCCAACTGGCAGCTGAAAGCAGCATTTTGTCTTCCATTACTCATATCTGAATTTCTCTTTTTTTCTTCTTTTTTTTTTTGCCTGTGAAATAATGCCTCAGGGACAAATGTGTAACAACAGAGGGCAAACTGGGTCACTTGAAAACCAACTCCTGGGGCATGTCTGCATTGTGAATGAGTTCATGACTTTCGTAAGGAGCTCCCATTCTCCCACTGAGATTATATTTCCTGCCTCACACAGATCACGTTCACTGAGCCAACAACTGCCTCTAGGCAACCAGGATATAACGCTGTGCCCTGAGCAGCACAACACTTAACCTTCTGGGATGCTGTACACAGAGTCTGTGTGTGTGTGTGCAGGGAGGAGGGGGAGCCCTCTTAATATTGCTTACTAACACCGACACCATGGAGTGCTTTCACAGTGGCGTGTGCTCTCAGTTGTCTGCTCCAAGGGAAAGGGTTGTGTGGACCGTTTCATTCCCTTCATGGTGTTAGAAACGTAATTTTTTGGCTCTTAATGTTAATCACTTGGGGTGGGGCTGGGCCAAGGATGCCCACAGATAGACCAAGATCACATTAGGTAGTTTACAGACACCAAAGGAAAAGATAGCTTATTGAGATAGAGACCAGTTCATCAGCTAAGTATTTACACTGCAGCTCTCCATGAGCTCCAGGAGTGTGGCTGGTGTTTCAGTGTGGGGTGTTTCTTTTTAAGCCCAGAATGATATTGAACTGTAGCAGACTGATTACTTTATAACTAATATGCTATTTGGAAAGCTTCCTTGAATGTCCAGAACCAGAACCTGGAAGGTAAGAGTTGCTCGGTATTACTTAGCAGAGGCCTACCCAGATTTGTGAATCATTTCTTATCATTTCATCTGAGAACAAAGAAAGTAAAGGTGGTCACATACCCAACTTTGTTTGGCCTCAGAATGAAAACAAGTCAATCAGCACAAAATTCACAGGTATTTGTGCTGAGGCTGCTTTCAGGACCATATTGAAAGCCTGCATTGCTATCCATATTCTTTGCCAAATGGAAGAGGATTGTTGCCCTAATATGGAATTCTCTGCTACTGGGTACAAGAGATTCCTTCTTGTGGTCACAGGCCATGACAGCTAGGAGATGTTCAGACACAATGGCCACATGCAGATAAGCTGTTGGTCAGACACCACAGACTAATTAGCACCCTCATTAACAACATCAGCACAATAAGGAAGGGTTATCATAGAAATAAGCATTGATCTTCAGGCCCAAATCTGCCAAATCTCAGACTACTCAAAGCCACATTTGCTTTTCTTTGGGTCCTCACATGAGCTTGTGTTAGACTGGTGTGTGCCTTACAACTCTGAAAATACGACAAACTCCTAAACCAGCACTACTGTACAAAAACACATGACTGAGCATAGAATAAATAGTCCAGTTGGAAGGGACCTACAATGATCATCTTGTCCAAATGCCTGACCACTTCAGGAGGACCAGAAGTTAAAGTATAGAGAAAATGGCTGCACACCTGAGAGCTCCCACTCTCTGCAGCATCAGATCCTGTCCCTTCTCAAGGGCTGCACGGGTAACTTCAGGCTGGCGTAGCCTGCTCGTGTGACCTCCTCCAGGTAATTTGGCTCTCAACAGCAGCATTAGAGGTATAGCAGCTTCTGTAGGAAAAACAGATTTTATCTTAATTCCTCTTTACAAGCCTCCTCTCTGACAGCTTTGAGAACTCTAACAATCAGATATATTCTGCTTTTAGTTCTCAGTTCATGCACATTGCTAAATACTTGGATGGTTTCTCTGAGGAAAGCTTTTAAGAAAGCTCTAGAACAACTCAAATAGTCTTATTCATTGTGGAGTCCCCAAAGGATGGCAAATTGAAACTGAAGTCCTGCTTGGAGGGGAAATGAAAACAGAGAGGAAGGGGTTTGGGGGATTCAGAGGGGTTTTAATTAGTTTGTGGTTGAGGCAGTGGAATTAAGTGCTAGAACACCCCTGTGACTGTATGCACATTGTGTTCTCTGGGAATTTGCTGAGTGACAAAAGGAAAAGGTAACCTTATTATTTCCTCCTCTCAGACTCGTCTTAAATTAGCACAGTGCTGATAAATCCTACTTGCACCTCTACCTCTCCTTTGCTTTACGAGAGTTACCCTAACACAGCAGTGCAGAGAAATGACAGGTCACGGACATCTCTCACTTCAGGACTTGTCATTGCAGCTGCAAGGCCAGGTTGCTTTGTTTTACTGAATATCTAATTCAGCAGTGAGCTACTCTATCTTCTGGAGAAATCACCTAGATCATAACATCTTTTTTGTCTCATGACAGATAGCTGAACATCACTCCTGCAGCACTGGCTGCTTGGATGGACAAAGCACCTGCTGAGGTTCTCATTGTCCCCAAATGAAACACAGCAGAGTCTGCAGCACTCACTCTCCAGGCAATGCTCTTCCATAGAGAATGGCCTAAAGGAACACATAGTGATGGCAAACTTTCCATCAGCATAATGCCAGGCACTTAGGAAACTAACTTGACCTAGTTTTGGTTTGTAGAACCAAATGACACGTAGTTTATTATGTGCAAAGAAAAAAACAAACACCTTAATAATAAAAACTTTGTTGCACATACACCCCTTCCTCACAAGCTAATATTTCTACCCTGCTGTGCATGCTGCTAATTCAAAAGGCTGGTACGGTCACAGACAGCCCAGCTTCTAGGATTTACCATTCAAACATACTTGAATTGGCATGAAAAATGCAATAAAATAATTCTTTTAGACAAGTTTAGAGAGAGGTACTCCCAAAAGACAGAGTTCTGGCTTCCAGTCACATAAAGCTTACACTTTGTCAATAACACAGTGAAGGAAGGCATGAATGAATTTTATTTCATTGGACAAGTGACTTGGAATACAGATAAGGCAGGGTGAGCATATAAACCTTTAAATAAATGTTTTAGCACTATCTGGAAGGGAGGAATGCAATTGATTCCAATCTTTTCTGACAGAAAATCAGTTCCTCTAAAGCTCTTGGGGCAACAAACACTCACTAAAAGTGTCTGTTACTAATAAAATCTTTACAACAAAACAAAACGTTGTCATTTGCAACTAATAGGCTACAATTAATGCAAATTATTACTCTTGTAGTTTAATTGAAATACTAAACTCTGACATGAGGTCTTTGTTTTACCAGGACTTTAAAAGCCATGTAACTTTGAAGAGGGATCTTTCAAGAGCTCAGGAAAACCCCAGCAGAGAAAAGGCTGACAAAGCCCCAAACAAAACACAGTGCAAACAGCAGCACGAGGAATACAAAATACTCTGTCTCTCTGATGCTGGGCTTCTCCTCTACTGACTGTGGCTACATCACCTTGAATATTGTTACAAGCAGTTAACACGAAACACTGACCTGTGCTTACACCCAACAACATAGAATCATAGAATAGTTAGGGTTGGAAAGGACCTTAAGATCATCTAGTTCCAGCCCCCCTGCCATGGGCAGGGACACCTCAAACTAAACCATGTCACCCAAGGCCTCATCCAACCTGGCCTTGAACACTGTCAGGGATGGAGCATTCACAACCTCCCTGGGCAACCCATTCCAGTGCCTCACCACCCTAACAGGAAAGAATTTCCTCCTTATATCCAATCTAAACTTCCCCTGTTTAAGTTCTAACCCGTTACCCCTTGTCCTGTCACTACAGTCCCTACACTCTTTAGTCTGCTTTTTGAGTGTTACCTTATCCAAAGCTGTCTTGTGGAAAATCTTCACCTTTTCTTCCCTCTCTGCCTGTTTCATGAGACTTTTATCTCTGCAATGGTACTACAAGCTGGAGCAGTGAAATCTGCTCTGATAATTCTGGTTTTACTTTGCAAATGCACATTATGCTTCGGAATGAAGGAGTGCATACAAGTGCTTTAGGAGAGCCATAACTGTAACTTCTACAAGAGAAATCCACTGACAGTGGCAATTTGCTGTACATTATAAATCTAAGTCAAACCCATATCCTGAGTTGCAGTTTTATTTGCAAAACCACAGATTGTTAAAACTCACAAATCAAACTTAATGTTATGGTCCTGGGGGCCTGAGGGTGAATGGTGTTGCTAGAAAAAAGGACTGTACTCAGTCACAACCTGAATTTCAAATCAAATGGTGTTTCATTCACATATACCTTGTACCAGCTCAAAGGAGTCACTGTATTTTTAGTATTACATGTTCTTTTCCTAATGCCTTCCATAATTGTTGAATAGAACAGATTTGCTTTCAGGTCCCTACTTATTGAAATAGACACTTTCAGATTAAGTCAGTTATTATAGCTAATAGTTTAAAACAGAAAAACCTGCACAACTTCAGGACATGTGCTTCAATGGTATCAGCTAATCAAGAGTCTGTTTCCATCCCTCCCAGCCTGTAACTCACAGAACTTCAGGATCTCAACCCCTGCCTTCCCACCTTAATTGTTCTCTTTATTTTTAGCGGTAACTATGCAACTTTTAGACTTCAGCGTGAGCAGGCTCTGGCACCAGAGAAAAAGAAGAGGAAAAATATAAGTGGTAATCTCAATATTTAGAAATAGAAAATTGTATTTCTATTTTCATAGTCCTGCAGGGAGCGAGCCAGTAGAATCTAGTTCACTATCTTGTTACAAAACCAAGCCCTCAGCTCACAGGGTAGCTATTTCTTAAGGAGTTGGTTTTCAGTTTTGCCAAAGAAAGCATTCAGCAACTGCAGAGGGAAAAATATAAAAAATGAAGTATTATACAATGGCCAACATTTTGCTTACAGCTCCTGGCTGGGTCTATATGGTAATCTATACTTGTGCACTGCTGAACCCAGAATAATTGCATAAAATCTCCAGGGCTCAGGACTCATCTCAGAAACCTCTAAGAAACACATCCTGAAACTCTTAACACCAGCAAAGGGTGGAATACATCCCTTCTCCAATCTCCACTCTGAATTGCTCATTTCTGGCAACAGGCACCACATGTATATGTGCTTCAAATGAATTCCTGTTTGTGAATGACACTGAAAAGTGCAAGTTCATATGCTGCAGTTCAGTTATGAAAGAGACACTCTTGTACTTAGGAACCATTTTTAATCATTAATTCTAAACTTCCATCAACATGAGCAGAATTTCCTGCTTGTGACAGTACTTCCAGTGTGAAGTTTCTACAGAATTTCCTTCATGTTTTCTGCTTCTATGGAAACCTTTCAAAAGTTCTTCTTGCTATCAAACAGAGAGAGGCACCAAACTTTGGCAACCCTCATTTTCAGCACTTCTCATCAGTAGTGTGGGAGGCTTTTGTTTTATACAAAAACTGCTCAACTAATTACTGATTCTATAGGCAGTGCTGACACTGTGAATCTTAAAAGTCTCTTACCATCTAGTACAGTGCTTAATTAATGAGAACTTACTGGAGCTGACTGACATCCTGTGAAAAGCTTTCAATGGAGCCATTTGCCAAATATTTGCAGCTTTGGCTGCAGGATGCTTTTCTTTCATTAAATATAGTTTGTAAATCAAGTTTTCCTTAATGGTGAAGACAGCTTCTGCGGAGAGCTGGCTGTGACAAATGCCTGGATGAAGCAGTAATCTGTAAGATGACCTGGATAAACAATTTAATAAAAAAATATCTCAGATACTGTAGATTATAAACTAGAAGATTGGTCTGTCATTCTCCGTATCTCAGACCATGTAACCCTATTGAAGAAAACTCAGTAGAGTGTTATACCTCTTTTAAAGCACTCCCTGTTTAGAAGGAAAACATGCAACTTGGAAGTGCTAGTGAAGGAAGGTGTGTTTGGTAATTTAAATCAGCTCCTGTGTATCCTAAGGTTGTGTGTATGCATCTCAGTCACGCTGAGCTGGCACCAATTGGAGTAGGACCAACACAGCACAAGTTTTGGCCTTCATGCTCTCTAAGGCCCCTACAACCATGAAAAGAGCCCTACAAAAGGAAACTGCCCTTTCCTTTTATGTTTCAGTTCAAAATAAAGGTGTGTTTACAGCAGGACACAGACAGCACGCTCCTGACAGTGAACAACTACCTGGTGGTATACTGTCAAAGAGCCCTCCTGGGTGGAAGAGCCAGATTAGTTTGAATATATAATCTTGGAACATACTAACCTTAAATGCAGGTTTATGTTTTCCTCCAGGACTAGCTGGGGCTCACTCTAGAAAGCAGTATGGAAGTGAGCTCATGTGCCTGCAGTATGGAAAACTGCAAAGCAGGGACATCAGGAAGACTTTCCCTTCTGTTCTTCCCCTGGAAGCACCTTCCTTAACCCGCTGTACCACGTTTTCTTTTCATATCCCTGCAGTGTTTCCTCTTATTCCCTGTCCTCCTCCTGTTCTGCTGAGCTCCTTTACCAACAAGGAAGCTTGTGACAATGATTTTTCCAAATATAGCTAGATGAATATATGAAATGCATGCAAATCAACCAGTTGTGCAGAGGGAGGAATCTGGTTCTGATCCACTGCAGCTTTTTTTCTGAGCATTAAGTCTCAAGACATTCCTGCTGACATCATAAAATAATAAAGGCTTGTGGTGAGGGGGTTTTATTGTTTGTGCTTTTTTACCAGCTCTATCAAACAGTAAGGAAAAGCACCACTGAAATTTCAACACACCCATTGTGCATGCTCACCTAACAACTAACCCAAACTGTTAAATTCCTTGTCAATAGCAGGCAATGATTTACCTGGATGATGACGACTTGCTGCACCTGTAAGTCTTTACACAGCTACACTTTCAGCTGCAACAGCTTCCAGAAGTAATCAATCCTGAACATGTTGTTTCACAGAAATAACTAGGGAATTTTAAAGCTGTGTTTTCCCCATAGTGAAAATACTAGGCTACTGCCAAATCAAGCTAGCTGTCATCCCTCTCCACCTGCATGAAGCCAGTGGGATGCACAACTGAAGTCTGCAAGGAAATCACTTTGTGTCCCTTTATGTTGGGGAGCTGCGCTTAATCAGAAGGCCCAGTGGCACTAGAAGGAAGGATTCCCAGAACATAAGCGTGGAAACACACTGTTACCAGGCACATCAGTGGTGAGGATTTTGCTGTGTAATCCATGCTGACATCCCTCTACTGCATAAAATACCAGGCTAGCACCAATGTCACACATTGTGCTCCTGCTGCTCCCACTCCCTGCTGAGCAGACCGGGCTCAGGCTGAACTCCCCCTTCCTGAAGAGGTCAGTGGCAGTTTGAATTCATTTCTCTTCAGTTTACTACATAGTGAAGTAAAATCCTTGTACAGTTTCACCACGTATAGAACTCACTGCATGTCCTCTAACACAGCCTGTTCTCAGCAGTGTAAATCACTTGTACCTCGAAGGTACAAGTTCTTACCTTCCTTCTAGATCCACCAAGGTAGTCATGGCTGGTGCAGACATCTAGTGATTGTGCTGGCCTCTTCCTCTGTGTTCTCACCAGGGAGTAAGGCCAAACTCTTCCATCCCTGCTCTCCAAGTCAGATGGACCCATTTACTGCTAGTCTGTACATTCAAGTAAGAAAAAGGCAGATTAATATGACACAAACATGGAAAAGGAAGGAAAAGAAAGTCTGCTGAGTGATCTTAAGAAAGCTGTGCTGTCTGCTGTCTTCATTCTCTGCAGCATCACCGGGACTGGGCACTCTGACATGGTTCATCTTGAGGGATGCTGCAGGAAGTTGTCATCCTACAGAGGCACTACTCACAGAGGCAGGAGTTTAGCATTTGCAGTGATCGAATTCCGTTAGACTCCTCAGCTCATTTTTCTGTATCCCCAGACTACAAAAGCAAAAGTTCCTATGCATTCCCCCACTTAACAGTATCAGCTATTGTAGGTAGGAGTTACTGCAGTCATGTTCTCAATTTGAAAGGTGGCTAACAGTAGGAAAACCAAGGTGTGATGCAGACTGCACTGCATTATGGGTCAAATACAGCTTTAATTGGACTACTTTGTTGTAATTTGCTTGGCTTAGCTTTTCTTTCACATAGAAGAAGAAACAGAAACAATTCAGCAGAATCAAAGCAATGAATACAGCCTGACTTTAAATCCTGATTAGGTTTTCTTTTACAGAGTGTGTGTGTGAGGAAGGAAACACATAAATCACACTAACTGGTTAACACATTTGAGGCACTGTATTCTAAATCAGGGAGGCCTCATTTACTTCTAGTCTTAATTCCAGCAGCCCCCTCAAGGACTAAATAAACATAAACCCTGACTTTGCTGCAGTAGCCTGTTCTACTTGTTGCAAAGCCTTACAACAGAGTGTGATTCCAAATTTCCCATTACCAATACTGAAAGAGAAAAGTAATTATATGTATTAGCAATACTGAAAGAGGAAAGTAATTATATACATTAAGAAAGAAAGTTTCCTGTTCTTCAGAAGCATTTCTTTTTGACTTGCATTTGTTTTCTCATGAGTACTTCTTACAACTGAAGGAGCTTAAACTGGTATTAAATATAGCTTTATGTATAGCAAAAGCAATCTGTCAAAGCCTATCAGCAGATTGAACCAGAGGTTGGGACATCCCAAGTGAAATCAAAGCATTAATAAAAGGCATTACTGACTAACAGACATTCATCTAAAGAAATGAGGATACAGACAAGAAATCTGTGATGGTTTCCACACCACGGGGCTTTTTTATTGTCTTTTCAGGTCAGCTTTACTGACTATTTGAACAGGTTGCCTGTTATAACCCCTCACCACATTAATAATGTTAACTAACAAATATAATGAGATCTTGTTTTCGAAGCCATGCTCACTGGCTGATACTAGAATATTTTATGTTATAATACAATAGTTTTACATTAAAGACTGGGATACTGGCATACAACTACATTAATTCACAGCAGAAACTTGGAAGGATGCTAGTACAACATTTGACAGGCCTTTTGGGACATTACTCTGCATCTGCCACACTGCTCTGCCCAAGGACAGGATACTGTGCGATAAAAATTAAAGCCTCAAAACGCAGAATCCGCATCTGTTCCCACAGAACAAAATGCTACCAGGATGAGGTGTTTTGTAAGGAGTCGTGATTTTTGTTTACTGTATCTGTTCAATTATTTAGGAAACCTCTGCATAATTTATTTCTTTCAACAAGATATTTCCATGCTTCAACGTTATTATTTTTTGCAAAACAACCTGCATTCAAAGCTCGAAGCAAAGCACAGGCAGTTCCCAAAATCAGCGAGTGGATTTGGGGGGCTTGTTCATGTTTTAAAAGAAAAGAAATCATTACTTTTAACTAGGTAACTCTGTAGAAACCAATACTCAGCAGTAGCAATCTTCTGAGCAGTTGCTTGGCTTTCAAAAGAAGTTTTCATAACCTGAATGTTGTTCTAACTACTTGCCTTTTAAAATCAGATCTAGTAGCTCTCGAGGCTTCAGAGTCCTTTGTGATAGACAGCAGAGAGCATGCAGAATTTCCCTACATCCATTTTGGGGGAGCAGGGGAGTGGTTACCAGTAGCATTAATGCTCAGGTATTAGACACAAGCATCAGTCCCAGAATCAAGCCACCTGCACTGCCTTGGTCCACAACTCAGATAATGTAGATTTTATTCTTCCATGATTCAATCAGAGAAAACCAAAAGTTGCTTTAAAACAGAACATACTTCTTGTTAACATGTTCTTCATGAGTTACTTGACTGCTTTACCACATAGGTTATAACTCACCACCAGGTTACCTAAAATGGAATTATATTCTTGTTAGGCTGCAAGATGAAGACAGCTAGCCAACATCTGAGTGGGGCTCCTAACAGAGCACATCCCATACCAGATTTCATCCAAATTCAGTCTTTAATGTTTTCCCCACAGAGGCAAACCATTGTCCCTCATAGTCAACCCTGTTCTCATTCGTAACTCCTGTATTAAGTGACCTCTCCATCCAGCTACTGACCCTGTGATCAAAGTTTAAAACTCAATTCTGCTTATTCCTTATTCCCGGTTCCCCTTTGGGCACCAGGATCACAAACACAAACACCCTTTGAGTTCTTAAAGGTAATGCAAATATGTATCAAAACCTGTTTTAACCTCAGCCATGCAGACTAGCACCAAAGCACGCAGGAGCAGACCAAAGGGGAAGGCAGAACAAGAGCAGTCTGGATTTAGACCATCTTAACCTCTAACAGGATTATAGCCTGCAGTCAAAGGCACAAACTGGAAGGACTTAAAATTTTGAGGATGACATTTACTGTGTGCTGTTCTGTGAATGATTTGGCCATGCCCACTTTTCTTTCCACATGAAGGGGCCCCTCATATCTCTGTCACTTCTTCATCAGAGCTTTGGCATTAACGCCTTACAGAAGCAAGTCAATGGCAATCAGCTAGATCAGAGAGCCCAACCCAATCCAGGTGCAGGTACCACTCCTGGGGCTTACTGTTAATGTGCAAACAGAAGCCTGTGATTGTGGGTTAGAACCTGACCCTCCTTTCTCCATCCTGTAGTCAAGACCCTGACATCTTTTTGTCTAATAATCTGTGCTCTCCATACCCTCCAGCTCTGCCTAAATAACCTCACTGAGGGACATGCTCAGGAAGCACCTCCCCAGTTCAGTTTACTTTGTCATTGTACCTGGGTGACAGGAGATCTTCTGAGCTGTTTGGATCCATCAAGACAGAAATATTTTGGGTTGTGGCTGGACTTTCTAGAGGACTCTGTCCAAAGAAGTCAAGTGAAGTAGGGAAACCATAAACACCCCCAGGCTAGGCAGCAGCTGGGAGAGGCTGAGGATCACAGGTATGTGACAAAAGAAGGTACATGTATGGGTCCCAACTTAAACTCAGTTCTGATCTGGCTCTGGCTCAAGCACTTTAGCCAATAAACCTGTGTTTGAGCCAGCAAGTATCAGGAGATATGGGCTTCAACACAAATTCACATAATTTCAACTCAGACTCCTGTCCTTCTGACACATCACTGACTGCACACCCAAGGCAATGAGATTCATAGAGTACGGTAAGTGGCATGAGAATGAAGTGTGGGCAGCTATGACCAAAGATCAATGAAGTCCCAAACACCAATCCTTCAAGAGAAAATAGTTAAACCATGTAGCAATTGAGAGTTGAACACATGCAATTTAAAAGCTGTACTTCCATTGCCAAATTACTTCTGATCTCTCATCTGCATTAGTTGCTGAACTTTCCTCTTTACATATAAAACTTGGACAAATGACAGTAGAATAAAGTGGGTTCTCTTTACAAAGAGCAATTTTGAGTGCTGAATTTGCAATTGCCTTTTCTCATGTTGCCACTGAAACTTTTTTATCCTCCTAAACCTTAGCTTACCTTCTTCTGTGAGCAGAGCTAATGGAAGGAAAGGCAACATCCCTTCTCTGCTGATCCATTGCTCCAGTCAGCTACGGAGAATCCACTCCCGTGCAGGTTACACAACATCCTTCTCCCACACACAGGGACCCTCAGCCCTCTCCTTTATGAAGTTAATTTACTGAGGTTAAACGATACAATATATTTGCCTTTGTTTGCTTTCCTCCAGCTCCAGCCCTGTCAGGCTTCCTAGGTCAGAAAGGGAATGCGCTCCCTGCCTTGTTTTCATACATGCTCCAAAAGGGATTGTGTTAACCACCCCCTCCCCAATCACCAGCCTGTGGAAAGGGCTCCAATTAAGTGGTTAGCCATAATAGCATGGCAGCCCTTTAGGAAACTGCTTATCTAAATAGAGATGTACAGAAGGCAGTTTTCTCTCTAATAGTGATGCATTTTCAATTTATGCAATACAAAGTGCATCGGTCTGCAGTGTCCCTGGCTACTGATGATTAATAGCCCATACACTGCAAGAGTCTACAAAGAAAAGTGCCAAGGGAAGCAGATGCAGCAGGTTTTATATTATCATGACTGCAACAAACTCATTCAGTGGTGTCAGCTCTGACTGCAGGATTCTGATTATGAAATATGATGCGTGTTGAATTTAATGGCTTTCTCTGCCCTTCTGGTGAGTTCACTGCTTTCCAATGTCATTTTGTGTTCTCATCTGAGTGGTAATAAAAGGAGTATCATTGACTGTGCTAGCTCTGTAACCACTGTGTGTTTTACAATAAGTTGTGTTTCAGGACCTTTCTACCCCGGAGAGTGTGCAGGGCCAGAAAGTAATATTCCCCAGTTTTCCAATATGAAGGCTTTCTGTGAGAAAAGAGGAAATAATGCAGGACTGCCCTTCTCTGGAGGCATCCCTCATGTGAGCAGGACATGTCTTTTTCAAGCGGTTATGTAGTAAAAAGGTCAGTTTGGATTGCAAATAATAAGAAGATAAAACATCAAAATAAGCAGCTACTGCTACAGAGCAGAAATGACAAGAGGATAGAAGTTGTTCAAAATAACATTTAAATAAGGAACCTGGGCACACGGGGTGTTACCCAGGTAGGAATGTAAAGTCAGGGCACACTTCTAGACAAGGGGCTCTTTATCCAGCAAATGGTTACTTCATCCAACCTGTCAGTGGCCTGTGACCTGTACTGCTGAGTGGAGACCTCTGCAAAGCTGGTTTGTTAGCTAGCTACAGGTGCTCTTGCAGATCCCTCCAGTGCCTGCAAAGGCATTT